AGAAAAATGGCTTTAAACTCTTGTTTTGTTTTTGATGCTCTTTATTGTTTAGAAGAGAATTGGGAGGAAGAACCCAGGGAAGACTACTTTGTGGAAGGAAGTTATTACAATGATGGGATTAATAAATCAAAATCTTTTCCAGCCTTGTTAGAACAAGAGTTATCCTGGGAAGATAATGAACTTTCTTCTCTACTTTCAAAAGAAGAGAAAGATCAACTGTGTGATGTCCTTGAAAGCGATAGGAATCTAGCTGAGACTCGCCGTGAAGCTGTGGAGTGGATGTTAAAAGTCAATGCTCACTACTCCTTCTCTGCTCTCACTGCTGTTCTTGCCGTCAACTATCTCGATAGATTCTTGTTTAGCTTCCGGTTCCAAAGTGACAAGCCATGGATGACTCAACTAGCTGCTGTAGCTTGTCTTTCTCTTGCAGCCAAAGTGGAGGAAACCCAAGTGCCTCTCCTGCTGGACTTACAAGTATATATGTTACTTTGTTAATTACCTCAGTTTTCTTTTACTCTTTCATTTATTTGTCATTTGGTTCGGGTTATTAATCTTGTTTCCTTATCGATCTGTTTAGGTGGAGGAGAGCAGATATGTGTTTGAGCCCAAAACCATCCAAAGGATGGAGATTTTAGTGCTTTCCACCCTTCAATGGAAGATGAACCCTGTTACCCCACTTTCATTTCTTGATTACATTGCAAGGAGGCTTGGGTTGAAGGACCTTCTTTGTAGGGAATTCCTTAGGAGATGTGACCGCATTCTGCTCTCTGCTATTTCAGGTTAGCACCAAAGCCAAAAACCTTTCCTTTATCTATCAAATACTTAATTTGAACTGAATCTACTTAAATGCACCTCATAATCTGCATAGAAGAAACAAGATGCATTCTATTGTTGTGTTCTCTCAGATGCTCATATTTTCTTTAATTCTTGATAAATTCATCGGCAGACTCTAGGTTTTTGTGCTACCTTCCTTCTGTAATGGCCACTGCTACAATGCTGCACGCTGTGGATTGTGTAGAACCTAATCTTAGAGTTGAGTACCAAAACCAGCTATTAGTCATCCTGGGAATCGATAAGGTAATTGCTTTATTTATCTTTGCTTTTCTCTTTTGAGCACTAATTATAAGCCAATGCTAAATGCGGAAATTTCGTCCTGGTTCTTAAATCAATATTCATTATTTCTGAACAGGACAAGGTAGATGAATGCTATAAGTTGATTATAGAATCGGCAACAACAAGAGCTCAAGAGAACGAATCAAACAAACGAAGGTTTAGCTCCCTTCCAGGAAGCCCAAATGGCGTATTGGATGTCAAATTTAGTTCAGATAACTCAAACGATTCCTGGGCTGTGACATCATCTGTGTCTTCTTCACCCGAGCCTCAATCCAAGAAGAGCAGAATTCAACAAGAACAGTTTCTGGAAAGGCCAAGCCATGCTCCTTCGAACTTTCTGAGTATTCCTCGCTAAATTCCATCTTCAGTTCCTCGGTTTTTTTCTTTTTTTACCCTTTCCTAGACCATAAATAGTCTTTGCAATAACATGCTGTTCTTTTGTTATGAAGCAAGTTAAATTGCTCATCATCTCTGCATTTTTCTATACCAAAACTCCAACCGAGACTCATCTATAGAACAATCTCCTTAAGAGTAATCGGTGTTGAAATTCACAAGCAGAGATGATTTACATTTTATCCGGAAGAAAGTTCTTTTGTTATTCAGAAACATAACAATGCAGAGTCCTTGACATTGATGCTTTGGGTCTTTTTGTTATTTTCACGAGAATAATGTTAAAAAATTTCCGCATTGTTCTACGTCCACATTGTTCTTATGTTTTGCTTACACATGATTGAAATACATAGGGAGTTGTGTATTTATATCAGAATACGAACATAGTATACTTTTGTACGTATATGTATCGAAATTCCAATGGCGAAATCAAATATGGGTGGAGAGGGGATCAAAAACCAAAAGAGCGGGAGGTCGAAAGTATACACGTAACTTAAATTTTTGTTTGCATGTGAAGGAAGGAACAAGCTGTCGGCCACTCACAGATTTTGGATTATATTTTCTGACTAAAATTTTGGGGGTTTGACCTCGTTGGAAGTAGGGTGTTCAAAATTTGATTTTAATCGAATTAGTTTGGTTAATTCGGTCGGTCACCGAATTAATTCGGTCGGGGAACCGTTAAGAATTTTTTTGGAATTTGTTTAACGGTTAATTCGGTTCGAAATCGATTAATTAACCGAATTAACCTTTAAATATAATTATATTAAGAGGCCCAATCCATTTAAAATCCATTTAAAACCCAAATCAATATTAATTAATTAAAATAATATTAAAACTAAATGCAAAATATTTGAATCAAATTAATTAGATATTATTTATAATTAGATATTATTTAAATTAATTGTAAATTGTTTTTTTAATTAAAAAATATTAAATTCTAAAATTCTAAAAATTTTTGGTTAATTCGAAAATAAACCGAATTAACCGAAATTTATTCGGTTCGGTTAATATTTTTGAAAAAAAGTTTGGTTCGGTTCAGTTAACGGTTAAATAAAAAAAAAAGTTCGGTTAATTCGAAAATTATAGTTCAATCGGTTCGGCCACCGAATTAACCAAATGAACACCCCTAGTGGGAAGAGCTCATCTCCCTTTGAATTTAGCCCAACAGCTGTTAAGTGCCATCATTTTTTTAATCAAAACCCTAAACCATCCCGTTAAAAAAAATATCAATAAGCTTCCCTTTGTTTATACTGCAATATTTACTGCACCAAGCCTCTCCTTTTTTTTTTAAATAAGGTGCTTAATCTGCTAAGCCTGACATGTATTATTAGATCTAATAATTGTTTTATACGTTGTGAATGTGGGCCTTATAATATAAAGGTGCTTCATTTATCTTTTTCGCCCGTATTAACCATATCCTTAGTTATTGCTCGTGCGTACTTGTATTTTAATTATTTGTATCCATCTAAATTGAATCATACTTATGGCGACACTGTCTTTGATCACTGTATTCTTAGTTTGTATATATAAAAGAATCACAATAATATGATGAAATAATACTAAATAAGCATAGTAGTGAAATAAAGTATTTGGATGGTTTAAATGAAAATTGAAAATTAACAAAACCAAATACTGATACCATTGCCAGTGTATTTACCTTTGATAAAATTAAACAAAAGAAAAGCAACGTGGAAGAAGATTAAAATGTGGTTAGACACACAATTGGCAGTGTACATCTGCTCTTCTTTTATGGACATTGTGATTTACTGATAGCATTTAAACGCCCCAAAGCTCAAAGACCTTAAAACAGAGCTGGGGAAGATTCCATGTTTAGTTGACACTGACGTAGCATCACTCGTCTCTGCCATTTTGGCCTGCCTAAAGGATTATAGTTATTTCCGAGTCATGAATACTACTGATAGTGGGGCTAAGCCTGCACACACCACAGGCTTTTATTTATTCTATTTTCCTTGCTGCTAATAAAGAAATAAACAGAGCCTGGAAATTTAGTTGGAGATGTACTAAAACTAAAATTTAAGTGTTAATGAGAGCAATGTAGTTGATGGAACTGGGAATAGAAATAAAAAAAAATAAAAATTTATACTTTGTTAATTCCAATAAGATTGATTGTTCTGAGAAAAACAGAGCCTCCCCTGAAATATAAAACAAAAACACTTTCCATAAGGCTTAGAAAATTTGGATTCTGACATTGATGGCCTTCACAGCACACGCAACCAACGTCTACTCTTCTTATCAGTCCAGTAACGAAGGGATGCTTTGCAATTAATATTTGCCTATCCTTTTTCTTTACCGTTTCATTGATAAGCCAATAATTCACTACGTAGGTCGATTATATTATAGAACAAACTGTTAAAGTGGATTGCTCATTCATTATTTGCAGAGAATTATTGTAAAACAAAGGTCATAATGATTTAGAATTAGAGTGTCAAATAATTAATATAAGATTTAATTATTTCAACCCTACATGCAAAAACTCGAGGGAAAAATGTTATCATTAATAAAAATTAAATAAAAATGGAAAAGCAAATTTATGTATAGAGGGAGGGACCCCTTGGGTGAGGAATGGCAGTGTAGATATTGATGGAGGAGGCCCACTCTAGTACATAGTATTGACATTCATTTCACCTTGATTTTGGATTAGAATTTGGGGATGCACAGTCCATGCGTGACTGGTTTAATTGCTTCATGAATTCTGAATCCAGTGAATTGGGTTATATCATTCTTTATGTTGGAGGTGAAAGGCCAGGCAAAAATGGTGAAAGAAAGTTGGTGATGGCATCTGGGATTCAACATCCAAGCTCAGATAGCCAGACTCTGAGCACTCCATTTAAGTCTTCTTGTATGTTAATTAGCTGTGATGCATGGTGATAGAGGAGAGTAGACGACAAACAAATATATATGTTATTTCTTGCCGATCCATTTACGTCAGGCCCGTATGCTTGGTGGCCCATTCTGGCCATATTTTCCCACACTCGTGGACCCTTTTTCTCTTTGGATTTTATTTCAGTTATGTATGAACATAATTAGACTAGAGATTTGAAGTCCAAAGTAGTGACTAATTGATTGTTAATTTTTTTATAAAAAAATAAAAACTTTGAGAAAATTATTGAGAATTGAATTAATAAGCATGTTAAGTAATAATTAGTGAGCAAAAACATCAAGAGGAATGCTAATGGAATGTTACCTGCAAAATTCAGTCTTGACTAATTTTCAGCCCGGGAAAGATGGTTTACAAAGCTCAGACAAGAGGGAGGAGCTACGTGTTGGGTTACAATACCAATTAACAAGCAATCATACATGTTGGTAGTTGGGCCTAGTCGAATCCTTTCTAGACCATGTCACGTTATTCACATTGGAAAACCACTGTTAGTACTGGAGTGGAGTTCGAAGTTAAATAACTGCCCTATTTTAATCATCAAATAATAAGCTCATGATCGATTGCAGAAGGATCTCTCTTTAGTTTAAATGAATGTTTCTTTATTCTTATCCTGTGTTAGTAAGTATGAATACATAGAAACAAAGTTGAGCAAATTTGAACTTATATATAATGCTATCAGAAGGTGAGGATCATCCAGAGACATCTAAAAAGTTGAGCAATTATTAAAAATGGAGGAACAAAGCTAGAAAAGTTGGCGGGAGCATTGTTACTTGTTAAAGACCTGGGCATGAACCGAAGGTATGCATCTGCCAACATCTCCCCGAGTCTCACCTGGGACTGAGTGGTAAGATGTAGCTTATCTGATTCAAGGGGTAGTGCCTTAGCGTCCACGCATTTCACATTTTGGAGGCCTATATTTAACTGGGCCTCTCTCACTTCCTCAATATATGGTCCCTGTCCTGATGCGAGAACCACCTAGTAACCAACATTACCAATCTTTAGCCAACCTTGTATGTTTATCAATACAAATCCATTTCAATTTTTTTTATTAGTGTCCCCTCTCAATCTCCTACAAGGATTCCTTCCATTTAAAACCTAACAAAATGCATGTGCCTTCCAACTAGTTGTAATCTTCTAAAGCATTTGGGTATTGGGTGCTTTTTATTAGTTAACTTGTATCTTTGTGGCATAAGGGAGTTAAGTTTTAGACTGAAATGCTTGTTCTAGGATAATAGAGGTATGTGATCCATTAAATTTGTGCAGATATATGATACTAGTTTTGAACAAAAAGAGCCATTTGTATTGAAATAATTATCATACATGGTTTTAATCAAAACTTATGAAGAAAAGGATGAATGAAACAAATGGTACCTGGAATATTGGGAGCATAGGTGCGTGCAGATCAGAACGTAAATCTTCGAAAAATGTCTTCAACCTACCTTCATACAATTCAGCATCTTCTTCATTGACTGTATCAGCCTCGCCTTGATACCAAAGCATTGCTCTGTAAACTCCTCCACTCTGCTGCGCCATCTGAGCCCTCTTCACCAGCTGCTCATAAAGAAACTCCCCTTTCTGCCATTCGTTTATGTTAGTCCCTCCAACGGCACATGGCACCAATCCTACCGGCCCAAAATTGGGGTCCTTGGTCAGTACCGCATTAGCGAAAGACATTCCGGGTCCAATCCCGTCTGTCTTCCTGGCATCAATGTCAGCATGGATTGGCTCACTTGCTGGAACCCATGCCATGTCCGCACTCAGCCTGAAGATTGAAGGGTTAGGTTGGCATTGTGGAGGAACGACACCGTCCCATGTCGGAGTGCCGGTGGAAGAGACATTGGCCACACCGCCACGGCCGGCCATGTTGCTTTGTCCGGCCAGGATAATCACGTTTAATTTATGATGAAGTAGATTTTGGCATTGGATGTGTAAGGCGTGAGCCAGAAGAGCCAAAGCAATGAAGGAAAGCATCAGAGGCTTTGCGGCGTAGTCTGGCAAAAGGGAGGGTGATCTTTCTGCTTCTCAATCTATTTATCTCTCAGGAAGCAGGACCATTTTCAAAGCAAAGATGGTTGCTTGTCTTACAGTCTTCGTGTCTTTTATTCTAATATTCCACATTTGTCAGCAGTACTGGGATTTCCATTTTCTTACAAAGGCTTTCAATGTAAGCATTTCGTTTACATAATTTAAATACGATAATGATATTTCACCAGCTAATACTCTACTTTATGTTTGTCTTCATACTTATTGTTATAACCATTTTTTAGAAAAATAATTAAATATTATTTAAAAAAAAAACAATTATGATTTTATTTTGAAAAATTGGCAGGTTTTAATTGATTTGGATTAAATTGAATAGAGTCGCCATCGACCTTTGGGTTAAGTAGGTCGAATACCTAAAAAAGGTATTTTTAAAACAATTTTATGAAAAATCGTTTTTTAGACAAATTACAGTATGCGTTACCAAAAATTCATTTTAACGGGTTCGGGAGTCGGTTACGTGTGGGGAAGGATAAACACCCCCACAGAGCCAAAAAACTGATATTGAATCGCTTACATGTTGTCTAAATGGTGGAAATTTTGAATTCGTATCGATAATTAAAGTGTGATTCATTTATTAAAGTTAATTTGATTTGCTTCGAACTAATAACTTAAAGAAAATTCTTTGACTTGATAAGAAATCTCAAAATTCACAATCCTCCGTCGGAAAAGCTATTTCGACTACTTCTTATCCGTAAAAGAAGATTCTATCTCCAAATATATAAAAATGCAAATCGAATAATAATAAAAAATGAATATTGACATTTGCATGAAATAAAATAAATTAATATTTAGAGAAACATGCATAGGCTTAAAATGAAATAATAAAAACGGAACTAATTAACAAAATAAAATCAATTTATTTTACATTCACATTTTGCTCGAACGTCGTATCGGATTACACCACTTCGATCAAGCAGTGTTTTCCACGCTCGTTCTACAAATCGTTATGCTTGAGAGTATTCGAATAATATACAATAGATAAATAATCATGAGGGAAATAAATATTAAATAAAAAATAACAACATACATTTATATACAATAATCATGGATAATATTTACTTAATATAATACATACATAATGTAAAATATATTCATACATGGGGGACTAAAACAGAACAATAAAAAATTACAGATTATATATAAATAACCAAATAAACATATTTGAAAAGTAAAGGGACCAAACTGTTACTAACAAAAATTTAAGATGTTGAATCACAAATAAAAATAAACCATAGCTAATATAGAATATATTAAACAATATAAGGGCTGGGAATGAAAATAAACCATAAACAATATTAAAGACTAAAATGAAATAAACAGTAACATAAAGGGCTTAACAAAAATTAAACCAAATGCTAACAGTGACTAAAATAAAAATTTACAAATGTCATGGCCAAATTCAAATATCAAAGAAAATATCACAACATATGAAAATAGTGACTAAAATGAAATAACTACAAACATTATGACCAGAATCAAATATTAAGAAGAATACCTAATATATAATAACAAAACTAAAATATAAATACTGAAAAATAAATGCTCGAAACCCAATAAAATAAAACTTCATTAAATGGCTTCATAATAAGATTACAAAACACGGGGGACCTAAACGACTATTACCCCATAACTAAAAAAGGAAAGGGGTCAAAACAACGTCGTTTTGCCTTGGGTATTTATGCCCAAACTGTAACATCTCAAACTATGGGTTAGTGACCAAATCGTAAATTTTTAGAATTTGGTGATTCAAATAAAATAGTTGAATAGTTCAATGATTTATTTGGGGATATTTCCTGAAAGTTTATAGTAATTGTCCAAAGAATTAAAGGGCAAAATGGTCATTTGTCATGAAAGATATTTTTATCCCTTTAATAAGAGATAAAAACGTGTGAAGATGAAAACATTTCATCTTCTTCCTCCTTTCTTCTTCTCCAACCGTGGAAGACTAGGCAAAGGCGAGTTTATATTTTTGTTGATTATTTGTTGAATTAAAGGTTGGGTTTTGATCACTAGATGATAATTAAGCTTAAGGAAAGCTTAATTTGTTCTAAAACAATAAGATGAAAGGTATAGGAGAGATTAAAGATTTTGAGTTCTTGAATGAAATCTTGGAATAGAATTGATAAGTTGAATTTTAAGTTGAATTTGACTTGTCATCTATGAGAACAAGAAGTTAGAAGTGTTAGAATTAAGTTTGGATAACATGAAAATTTTGGTATGATTATTTATTTCTATATGGAGAATAGAATTTTGAGGTTTAAGATGAAATAAATGGATATAAATTAGTTTAAGTATGTATATTTGAGTTAAGAATAGAAAAGTGAATGAAACATGAAGAATTTAAGTTATTATAGTGAATTTTCAGGCATGAACAATGATTTTCTGGGTTTAAACGAAATTTCCAGATTGTGCAGGGGGTATCGATTCCCTCTATATGAAAAAATGGAATTTGGTTCATAAAACTGGTTTAAGTTATTAACATCAAGTTTAAAGTTTAGGCTTCTTATAGTTGTTTTGAAATGTTATATTTATGTAGATATTGAGCTAAACAAGTTCCAGAATAAATCAAAGCAAGGCTAAGGTGAGTGCAATTTAATTGTACTGATGCTATCGAAAAATATTGGCTTGCGATGAGCCAGTGACGGAGTTACTATGGTAAGAAGTGACTCCTAAAATGTTATATGATTGATATGATTTTTATGAGTGCATTTTAGTTTATAATATTATAAGAAATTGGACTTGTGATAAGTCTATTTCCAATAGTTATAGTGTATGGAGTATTGATTATAAGGATGTGAATGACATGAAATGTATACTTGATTATATGAACTGATATGTGCTTATATGTGCTATATGATATATGTGATGCATGTGAAGCATATGAGAACAAGAGATGATATGATTTGTATGATATATGAATTTGTGAGTAAAGGCATATGTGAATATAATTTGTATGCATTATATGTCATGTGAACATAAGAGAATAAAGCATGTTATATGATATGAGGTTAGGTGATGAAACATAGATGAAATATATATGATGATATAAGAATAAGACATGAATCAAATGATATATATGTTTATGTGAATCCATGCAAAGTGATACGAGCTATGTGACATATGAATATGAATTCATATGAAAAGTGACATGAAAGTAAACTACGTGATTATATGCACATGTGATATGTGATCATAAGAGCAATGATATGAGTACATGAATATATGAAGCATAAGAATAATGCCCATGTTATATGATACGAGAGCTATAGGTATAGTTAGCATGCCAAGAGTAGAGGGTATTCGGGATAAATTCTACGTGGTCATTCGGGACGTATATGTATTATTTGGAGCATATATGAGGTCTTTTGAGACACTTACTTGATCCTTGGTATATGTATATGATTCTTAAGGAATTTATATGTGGTCCTTATGGACAATCTTATATGGCACTACGGTGCAATTCTATGTGGGCACTTCGGTGCAATTCTATGTGGCACTTCGATGCATTTCTACGCGGTCCTTCGGGATAATTTCTACTTGGCACTTCGGTGTAATTTATACGAGCTGTGGTGACAGCATTTGTGCACAACCTCAGTGTACTCACATACCTTCAGTTCTCACCAGTGTACGATGGGCTAATAAAGAGACACTAACAAATACAATATATAAGATGCATATGCTTGTGATGATATGAAAGGTATTGCATGGATTATAGGATGCTTATATGATCACAAGGAATTAGTAACAATAATATGAGTATTGAAAGGCATGTTAATGATATATGTTTTTATATGATATGATAGTATTTGCATATGTATACCTTTTGTTTATATGAAATGATATATGGTTATAGTTTATGTTTAATATGCCTCACTAAGTCAACGACTTAGCGTGTGATTGTTTCACGCGTAGGTTCCGAGAAGAGGAAGATTGGTAAAAGTTATACAAGACAGGTCAGTTTCTCCTTTCCAAAGATCAGATCAGAAAATAAATGTATAGTATGTATTTTGTAATAATGATAGTGGTTGGCATGTAAATAAAGGTTTAAATCCGATATGTTTTAATCAGTTTTATTTAAAATCATATGATTGAATTTTATAATGTTTTAAATGTGTGTATATATATATATATATGCAAATGGTAAATGTATAGAGATGAACGTTTTAAATTTTATGAATTTATATGTATTTTACGAAAGTTACTGTAGCAGTACCGTAGCAGGGTATCGGTTTCCCTCTTTGAATCTGGAAAATTTTAACATTCGGGCACTGTAGCAGGTACTGTTCATACGGTACTGTTTATACGTATTTTATTATTTATAAATACGTTTTTAATTGGAAATTTTATATGAAACACAATGTAATAGAATATTGTGGTATTTTCCTAAAACGAGTGATATCTCAGACTCATATTCAAGTCGGATACGGGTTGGAGTGTTACATTTAATGGTATCAGAGCTACGGTTTAGCAGATTCTAGGCTAAAAACGAAGTCAAAAGTGTTTTAAAAAGTATACATGCCAACACAAAGTGAAAATTTTCTGATCTGATAGTGTAAGGAGTGTACTGTCTTGCTAATAGAATTAAAATGATATGTTATATTATATGTATGATAATGAGAGCTTCTAAAGTGAAGCACAAGACAATAGACTGAAGGTAATAACATTCACCTACCCTGGCCAGACAGGGAGAAGAGCGAAAAACCTCAGGGCGTGCCTGTATAAGATTAGAGAAGGTTTTATGATGTTAAATGATATTATGATGTTAAATGATATTATGATGTGTTTTCAATTTTATACTGTTATAATTCATAGAATGAATGTATCGAATAGAGTTAAGAGCACCCGAGTTCAAGGGTGAATTTGTGAAAGGTTTTGTTGTTACAGACCTTTGGATAAATGATATAAAGATGATGTTAGAAGGTGTTCATTTCTCCAATGTGGAGAAGTTAAATTGAATAAT